GGCATCAGCAGTTCCCTGATCTGCAACAGCTCTTTCTGGGGTCTCCTCTGGAACTCATGATGGAAATTATGGTTTTGATTTGCAACGTGCCCATCACAAGAAGCTGCTTTTAAAAGAAGTTGTCCTGCGGAATGTGAGAACTGCTCACTGAGAGGCAGCTTCACTGGAGCTTGTACAAGCTGAGCACAGAGAGGTGATGCCTGCTGTCTTTCCTGCAAGAAAGGAGTGAAGAAAGGTGAGGGTGAATTCTGGGCTCCCAGCGGCCGCTCTCCTACTTTCAGATGTTATTAGGGAACTGTGAAGCTAATTACATGTACAATAACTGCAGTAACTGCTTTTCATGCAGAATCACAGAGCAGAAAATAATGAAAACACGAATGGAAAAGCCTCTCTGCTTTACCAAACTCTGAGCAGCGTGGAGAAAGCACTGGCTATTCCAGGAGGCTGATGCAAGCCCCGAGCAACCCTAAGAGTTTCTCAACAACCTCACCCAACAGCAGGACAAATCCAGCATTCCTCAGGCTCTTCCCTTTCCAAAAGCACCCTTAGGAGACACCAGGGAGCACCTGGCAGACCCAGGCATGACTGTGGGCAGAGCAGCCTTGGACATCCACACACTCCTCAGAGCCACACCTTGACCTGCCTGCAGGAACCCAGCTCCTGCCAAAACTGACAACAAATGGGTCCTGGGTATTTTCTGGGCTCTAAACCCAGGAAAAGTGGGAAGCCTACACCACCTACAGTATTCTCCACTATCCCAGGGACATTGTGGATGTTGGGGTTTTTTGGTCTACGCAGTCACTGTTTTCTAAACAGCATTCACAGCCTTCCTAAGTTTTAATATTGGATGTGGTGAGGGCTAAAAAGGATGGAGGTTTTGAAATCTCAGTGGAGAGAACAAAAATGCTTTTGACCATGAAGAACATCCTATCTCTCAAAAACTTACAAGATATTATCTCCATAGTGAATTCTCCTAAGGAAAAAAAAAAAAGGTGTTCCAATAAAGCTTTTATGTATCCTTTTTTAACCAAAAATCATGCTAGTAAAAAATCCTAGAATAGAAGCAATTACATTTTTATGCATTTGCATGAGCTTGGCTACCTTTGCTCAGAGCAGAACATGCTGGCAGAGTTTATTCATCTCCCCACATGAAAATAAAGCGTGCTGCCACACACTTGTCCCCAAACTTGGCTGCCCACACAAGAGAAGTTCCCCTGCTCCATCAGCACAGGCACTGCTCGGGGTGGGCAAAAAGAAACATGAATCACTGCACACGAAGGGATGCACAGAAAACACAAAAAAGTGGCTCTGCCTCTCATCTGCTGGGGTTGTCTGCTGGGAGTTGCTTTGTTTAGGTGTGTTTGAGAGGTGCTGGAGCTGTGGTGGGGCCACACTGCAGAAATAAAGCATCTGACACCCTGATGTCATCACAGCCACCACAGCCTCACATCCTGCCAATGAAACCTGAACTTCTCTTTTTTTAAGAAGTCGTTTTTTATTAATTATAATCTTGAAAAACACTACCAAAAAATCAAAAAGGGCATAAAGCCAATAGCAAGTGTATCATATTGCACATCCTACTTCTCCTTTCCCTCCTTCCCCAGGAGGCCACTGGTCTTCATCACTCCCAAACACTGAGGTCACATCAGGAATCAGATCCCCTGGGACACTGCTGAACTGCTTCAGTGCAGCCCCACGTGTCCCTGCTCCCCACCCCTCAGGACCAATCTTCTCACCACGTTAAGTTACCATGAATAATTAACAAAGAGGGAAAGATCCCCGTGCCACAATCATCCTCTGCCATACTGCAGACATGGAGATCTTTCCCTTAGGCTAAAGAAGAAAATACTTAACGAAGCTATCTTAAACATTATCATGCATCAGTGATCAAGACTAAGTTTATTATCCTGCAAACAAAAACAAAGACAAAAAATATAACAGATTACACCCCAGTAGCTTTCATTAAGAGATGCAGTGATGGCATTTCTGAGGAAGGCACTGGCTCCACAAATCACCTCAGCTAGCACCCCATCATCAGGCCACAGTGTTGGCAGTGATGTGCAGCGTGTGGTATTTGTGGCACTACTGGGGAAAACTATTTTAAGTCTAATTAACATGAAATTTTTAGAATGCAGATGCTTTTCATTTATACATAAAACAAAATGCCGTGACATTTCTCCCATCCATTTATCATAAACAAGTTAATTACTGTGTAACAAATAGCTCCTGCTAGAATTTGTATGTTTGGAGCATGTTAGAGAGCTGACTCAGGCAAATAAGATGAACCACAAAGTAGTAGCTAATAGCTTACGGCATACTTACAATAAAACAATGACTCTGTAAAAGCTCTTGTTGTCAAATTAAGGCTAAGCTATTTCCATTGGAATAAACCAATTATAAGCAGTGATTATCTGTTTAACTTGATTCAAACCTAGAACACAATAAACACTTTCATTTTGATGCATTCATAACTGCATACATTTGAGAGCGGGATATTGCAAAGCTTAAAAGGGAAATGCTACGTTTGTTTATTGCCACACAACACATCCTGAACCATAAACTCCCAAATTTCTCCATGGTGTAGAGGAATTTCACCACCATGCTGAGGGCTGCATGCTCTCTGATTTCTGATGGACAACCCTCCAGGGATAAACTGTCCCAGGACTGCCCACCTCTCTTCCTAAGGACAAGGTGAGCATTATCCATAAAAATCTCGTGTTCACTCCGTGAAATCCCCCAAGAGCCATCCAAGCTACAGACATGCTTTTTCCAACCCCCAGATTCCAGGAAAGCACTGACAGGTGAATTTCTGCCTACTTTTCTTTCTCGTTTTTTTTTTTTTTTTTTTAATTCAGGCAAACAGTCCCATTTGGCCTGCAGATGAATTACTGAATGCTGATGAATAAGATGGTGGTAGCTGCTGGCAGCAGAGCTTTGCGTGGTAAGATGGTGTGAAATAGTACATATGTCAATCTATCAAACATGATAATGTAAGCAATCTGAACCCATTTTTGGTCTGAACTATTGTACAATACTTCACCCAGATGGAAGAAAGAGATAAACATTTTATGCTTCAGTCACATCAAGTGCTACGAAGTAAAATTAAACCTAAACTGGAAAACTACCAATTTTACATACTAGAGTATATATAAAGAACAACACAAGCATGAAGAAGAATTTTTTTGCCCATTATTGTATAAATTAATTAGATATATTTGCTTCCTATGATAAACAACAGCATGTATTTGACTGTAGATAAAAAGGTGCAAAGATGATGGTTTACTTATTAGCAGACACAGCACTTGCACTTTTTTTCTTCATTCTTTTGTTGAGAAAATGCTTTTAAATCATGGAACCTGTAACAATGTTATCAGGACATGAATCTTACAAGTGGGGCATGGATACATAATGTCCCTAGGGTGAGTTCAGCCCTAAATCAGAGGCAGGGCTGCCATGACTCATGTAAAACTACAACTGGTCCCTAAAGGATAAAATCAAATAGATATATATTTTCATTCAAATCAACTTGACAGCCTGTGTAAATATAATTTCATATTTAGAAGTTATCAGAAATGAAATGACAGCCACTGTGCTGCTTTGAAAGTCACAGCCAGCTAACGCCTCTGAGCAGACTCTTCTGCTCCATCCCTGTTGTCCATCTCCATAAAACCAGCATAATTTATCAAGCACTAAACTGCAAAAAACCACTCTTCTGAGCAAATATATTTATGACACAGCTTTCTACAGTACTCAGAGAACATTTTTTATCAAATAATTTGCAAAGCTAAAAGAGCATGAAATCTACCCAGCTTCCAGACTGACCTGTCTTAAAGCCGCCTTCACGTTTAGGAAAAATTGCTACAAAGTGTGGAAACTATTGGTATTTGGTCTCTTTAGGGCTGCATATTCTCGAGCTTGTCCATCTCAATTCCCTCTTTGGTTACCCTTCAAACTAAAAATAAACTCCCCAAGGTCTACTAATTAATGCCAGGCCAGTCAAGAGAAATCCTGAACAGCAACACTAAGACAACTGGGCACAGGAACAAAAGTGATTGCCAGCTCATGCAGAGCAAAAATGTCCAGTCCTGCATTCTGCTGAAGCCAGAGAGAACACTGACAACTCTCCCTCTCTTCTGAGGAAAATCAAAGTAACAGAGCAGGTGTTTGGTCTGGAGGAAGACAGAAATCCCAGCTTTCTGGCACAGAGACATGCACGTGAGCAAAATGTACTCAGGAAAACACTGCAAAATACAGTTAGAAAGCACCGAGTAGAGTACCAAGTCGTGACATGCTCCCCAACTTCCTGGGCTGCTGGGGTGGGGGGTAGTGGGATTCTGATCTTCAAAAGTTCTCTTGGAATAAAGTATTTTTCTGTCATGCAAATATAAAGTTTAATTATTTTCAACTTGAAAAAGAGACAGAGAAACACAGACGATAATCTACTGTTATTTGGATTATGAAGACATCTTAGAGTTTACAAGCACAAAAGTGGTTATAATCCTGCAATTACTATAAAGCTAATTGGTAGTTTCTTTTTGCCTGTGTTTTCATGTTGTCAGTGGGGCAGTAATGAAAATGAATGCCACATTTGTGAACAGAATGTCTGTAGGCTTGTTTACCACATTTCCAACAACAACGTCTGCTTTATCATCCATTTCAAAGCAGAGATAATTTAGGGATCTTTGAATTTCATACATAAAAATACTTTCTAAAATACAAGATGCAGAGTTCCTTCAGACAGGGTGGGAGTAGGAGACTCGAGAGTGAAGTGATGACCTCGCATGGTGTAACAAACAATCCACCTGAAGCAGACAGCACACGGACTTGGAGTGATTCATCTGTATTCAAAACCGTGCTCAGGTAAACCACTTAGTGTTTCATCCTCCTACAAACATAATTCTGCAGACAATTTCGCCATCAAACCCAGCATCTTTAAGCCTCTTTTCACCTCCTGAAAATACAGTTATTGCAGAAGCTATTAAGCTTTTTATTCCACTTACCTTTGAGTAACTTCTGCCCTTCCATGATATTCTGGGAGATGAAAGCTGTGTAGTCTTGTTCTGAGAAGCCAGGCTTGCATGTGGGTCTAACTGTAAGATCCCCATTGTGTGCCTGCAAAAACAAAACAAGGAAAACGTACACCATGACTTTTGTCATTTGGGAAAATGTTCTGCACCCAGTGATGAAGTGTTTAGGCATGAGCAAACCTGAACAGTAAAGCAGTGTGCAAGTAGAAGTTGCTTGTGTTAGAGTGCCTATCTGTTGGAGTGGATCCATACTGTAGCTGCAAAAAATAAAATGGGCCAGCAATAGTTGCCTGACTACAAGAGAGCATTGTTTGTAGGAAGGCTGGAATACTGGGCACTGTCAGAAGAGGGGAGGAAACAAAGAGCAGCAATTCATCAAGGCGCTGTGCTCGCACTGGAGACTCGCAAAGGCCTGATGTTGAAACATCCAAACCACCGAGGTTTGCTACTGAGAAACTGGGCAGACCCCAGCATGGAAGGGGGAGAAACACAGGAGCCTGAGACCAGATGAGAACATCCTTCCTTGCCTTCACCCGTTCAGCAGCATCCCAGGCTCTGCCTGCTACTGCCTCTGGGACCCTCCAGGCTCTGCTCTTTCCCCTGGCAGTGGGAAGGAATGGAGGGATTCCCAATTAAAAACGTGACCATGCACAGAATCGTGCACAACGTGCCAGCACCCAGAGGGAAGCAGCCAACGAAACACTCAGCTGCAACTTTGGACTGAGCAGAGGACCCGGCCCCTGCCACAGGGACGGGGCAGTGCAGCCACAGCAGTCCAGACGCCTTGGGATTCCCCGGCAGGGAAGGTCCCAGACCCCAGCTCCAAAGGAACTCGCTGACAGCACACAAGCCCGTGATTTATGCGCGGAGAGTGCCAGGTGATTTACGCACTAACAAGTGCTGGTGGCAGGGGATTTCTAACGCGCCCGGGCTGCCGGCAGAGCCAGCCAGAGCATCGCTTAGCGATGCTGCCGGCACCTCCGCCGCCTCCAGAGCCGGCAGCGCCGGCTGGAGCCGGGGGAGCGGCAGCGGCGCTTCCCCGCCAAGTGCAACTCCGGGCGTGCACCTGCATCCCCGGGGGAGCATCGCAGCACCCCCAGACACTCCCGCACACAGCGCTGCATCACAGACACGGAAGGGAAGCGGAGAGAAGGGTCCTTTCGCATGAGCTTAGTAAGCAGAACACAAGCCAATGCACTCGGCTTAAAATCACGCTCGGGAGACGGATGCCAGCTACTGCATGGGAAGCGCAAGGAAGCGGCGGCTCTGTTGGGCTCTGACCGCGGCTGGCAAGATGTTGCCATTAGGAAACATTTCAAAGGGTCTCACCGCGCATAGCGGGCTTCGAATCTGAAATCGCCCCGTTATTAGAGCGGTGCTCGCTAGACGAGAGCGCATCGGGGCTATTCCCGAGTGCCCACCAGCCTCCACAAGGCTCGGGACATCCTCACGGATTCTACTTGGCACGGGGGGATTGAGGCAGAAAAATAAGCGGCTCTTGTTCCCGCAGCCAGCCTAGCCCGAAACCCAGCAGCCGCCCGGGCGCTCTGTAACACTGCAGCCACGCGTTCAGGCGCTTGTTGATGTTCTGCAGAAACCCTTCAATTTCACGCGGCGTGGGAATAAAACGCTAAAAAACCCAAACTTTCAGAGCATCACCCCCCAGCACGACCCGGGCCCGCTCAGTTGGGTTTATGGGCTTGTAAAAATAAAAGTTAGGGGCTGCAGCGGGCGCGGACGGAGCGGGCTCGGCGGGGAGCGCGGCGCGGCCGCGGGGGCTCCGCGGGGCTCGGAGCGGCTCCGCGCCGGGACGCGCCGCTGCGCCCGAAGTTTCTGCGGCGAGGCGCAGCGCGGAGTGCACTTGTGCCGGTACCGCGGCGGCACCTGAGCGCCGGCTCAAAAAAAACAAATGCAAAACACACAGTTAAAAACTGCACCGCGGCCATTCGCTTTTCAAAGACAAATAAAATAAAATAAAATAAAATAAAATAAAATAATAAAATAAAAAAATAAAATAAAATAAAATAAAATAAAATAATAAAATAAAATAAAATAAAATAAAATAAAATAAAATAAAATGGTGAGAAACGGCGGCAGCTCCGCGCACCCACCACCACCCTCACTCCCCCGAGCCCGAAGTTGCCGCGGCGAGCGCGGAGGAGCCGCGGCGGGGGATGGCTCCGCGCCCGTTCCCACTTACCGCCGCCGAGCCCCAGACGGGCAGGAGGAGCAGCAGCAGCAGGCGTCGCCTCGGGCCGGCGCTCATGTCCGCGGCGGCGGAGGGAGCGGAGCGGGGAGCCGAGGCGAGCGGAGGGAGCGGAGCCGGCCGGGTCCCGCGGCCGCCCCGGCTGCAGGTGAAGCGCCCGCCGCGCGCCGCCGCGCCCCGCCCCGCGCGCGGGCACGCGCCGCTTAAAGCGACAGGCGCCGCCCGCCGCGGGGGGAGCGGGAGGAAGGTGGTGATGATGATGATGATGGTGATGATCGGGGAAAGGGGCTCGGCGGCGCTGTCGCTGTCTGTCCGGAGAAGAAACTTAACGCGTCCGAATTGCGGCGCGCTCCTGGCATGGAAGGGCGAAGCAAGCCGGCAGCGCACGCAGGGGTGATGGAGGGAGGTGGTGGGTTCACATCCAAGGTTGTGGTTTGATCGCCGCCCTTCGCTGAAGGGTTGGGTTTGGAGATCTTCTGTGCCCCCTTCCAGCTCAGATTTGGTGATTCCCGGATCGTCATGCACAACCATCAAGCCAGAACTGCTGCTGGCACCCCCAAACCATCACCCAGCACCAGATCTAGACTCCTCTGAAACACCTGCAGAGATGTGTTTCATTCCACCACCCCCCTGGGCAACCCAGTCCAATACCTGACTGCCATAACAGAGACATTTTTTCCTAATGTATAATGTCAATCTCCCCTGTCTCAACCTAAACTCATTTCCTCTAGCCCTCTTTACATGTGCCCACAAGGGAACAAGCAGTATATCCATGGGAAAATTAACACAGCCCTGGAAACATACTCAGTGGGCAAAAATACTAACACACCCAGGTGAAAACCAGGTGTATCCCATGAGGAAAAATAAGGAAAATATCTATGTCTAGGGGTTCATGAGTGTATCATGTGAAGCAAGCAGAGCTGTGAGGGAAAGGTGGTGTGAGGGAGTAGTAGCAAATCTACAAAAAATTATGTACTGCGGAGGAAAAAACTGATATATCCAGAGGTGAAAAACTCAGGAGAGGGTAAAGAAATGGGTAGTGCCAGGATTGCCTCCTCAACTGTATCTGTGAACCAGCCTGAGCCTGGCTCTGCTTTTTTTAGAGGAAAATAGGCTTGTCAGGCCTAATCCACATCAGTAGCAGAGGAAGCTAACTCCACAAAACTAGTAAAATTCTGCTGTAAAAATAAAGGTAGATCAACACAGGCTCAGAAAGTGAAACTTCAGTCACAGAGAACTGAACGCAGTGGTTTCAAGCAGAGTGTGGCTCCTGCTCTTCTCCTACAGCAGGACCCTGGAACCCAAATCCCATCCTTTTCTTCTCCAGCTCAACAAATAGGAATTCCCAGGCACGAGTGTTTTGTGCTTGTAAATCCAGCAGCAATTTGCATAAATAGATGCATATTATCTGATGTACGTGCAAAATCAGACATTGCAGCTGAAAAATCCGGCCATTAAACCATTCTGTTGGATTTGCACGTTTCCTGAGGAATGGGACACATAAATCCACTGGCTGCATCTTTGGCTATTGAGTAGATTTAATAGCATTGTGTTAACACCTAGAGACGTTAGCAAAGAACTGAGGCCTCATTGTATTGAGCTCTGTGGACAAGAATAATGAAAAGATTGTTCCAACCCCACCAATTTACAGTCTTACTGGATTATGGGGTTTATTTTGTTTTTAAACAAGTATTTCTGAGTTTCTTATATAACATTAAATAAATGCCATCATTGTATTGAATTTAATGTAGATCCTATTTTTATGAAGCACTTCTACAGAGGCAGAAATAGTTGAGTGACACTATCACAGCAAAAATAAATCCTAATATATATTTAAAAATTCTGATTTTTTTTTTTCCTTTTATCTTTATCCTCAGTTTCAAAGTTTGGAGCAGATTGTTCCAGGTTTAAGGGCAGTTGCTATTTAAATAGAACTAAAAGTGCTCTGGAGACTACTGAGGATATTTTGGATTTGGGGAACTACAGTGTGAATGCTTTTTTTCAAACACCTATGGCCAGTTATTCTGACTCTTGCTGGACTCCAGCTGTTGCTGTGCAAGTGCTCGCTCTGCTTGATAACTTTGTTAATATGACAAGTTCTACAAGTATTATCAAAATAAGTCTGACACCACAACAGATTGTGAAGAAAAGGCAGAGCAGTAGTGAAAAAAAAAAAAAAAAAGAATTCTTCAACATGTTTACAGTTGATTTCTAATCTGATGGCAAATTGATTTTTTTCCCAAAGTAGTTTGCCATCCCACTTTTCTAAGCTGTGGTAACAAACTGTGTGCTCAAGGAATGAGGCTGCAAGTGGAGTTGAATTTTCAGTAACAGTGGCCGGTGTGAAACAGCAGGTGCCTCCCAAGCTGAGGTGTTTCCAGAAGGAGCAGAGCAGAATCCAGACCCACGTTCAGGCAGTGGAAAACTCTGGTTCATGTGTGTGGTTGCTTTCACTCAACCATTTTCATTCAACTCTTGACACTCCAATTAATTTTGGAAGGAATTATAGTTTTTCTAGCTATTAGCTATTATTTGAACTACTCCTTCTTTAGCAGCACCTCACATGAAGTGCTTGTAAAATGTCTTCCTTTGGATCTTTAAGGAAAACTAAAACTATGTCATTTACATTTTTGTACCTTCTGAATTTTTTTTCCCAAACTTTCAGATGGCAGGCCTGAGCTGGGCCTGAACATATGTTATCTGGGAGGGTTTGCTTCACTTGGAGCCTGCTGGGAGACTGGTTAGGAATTGGTGGTGTGGCACAGAAAGGAAATAGGAAGCTCCATCACCTAACACAGGAACGCTGCAAGATGTGGGGCTGGCGGGATGAAGACACTTAAGCATGTACACATGCACAGTAAATCAACTTGCTAAACACCTCAAGAGCAAAACTGCTGATCCTAGGAGGCAACTTGCTGTACTCACAACACCCAGGAGAATAAAAGGCTCAGGGATGAGACATCTCCAGAGCTGACTGTGCCAGGATAACGAGGAGCTCACCAGGGATTTTCCCCTCCTTGATGCACACACGTAATTCCTGCTGACAGCAGTGGGACTTGCACATCCACACCAAGGGACAGCAGAACCCTTGGTGGAGGAGATGAGTATCGGATGTGAGCTGTGTGACCACGGAGAGGGAGCCAGGGAGAGGGAGGTGTGATCACTGAGGGACTGTACAACATACAATAAAATTGTCAAGCAGCCATCAAGTACATGAAAGCATGGGAATAACAAATTAAATGGACAGGAGGTGAGAAAACACAGTCTCAAGAGGCTTTTGTCTTCCTAGCTTAGGGATGATATCTGAATTCCTTATCTGGGAAATATTCCCGCTGGCTTAACCCGTTTAATTCTCTCACAAGTAAATATTTCCCTGAACTCGAGTAAATAGTTGTGGTCCAGATGCCAAGGATAAAAAAGTGGTTTTATTAAAAATTGTGATAAACAAGAAGAAATTAAATAAAATGTGCAGACCTTACTGTGGGTTTCTTCTGTATGATCTGGAGATTCTTCCTTTCAAAGGAGGAAACAGCTGGGTGACCAGTGGTTTGGAGTCATTATTACTAATTTGGGTTTGTGTCAAGAGTAGTAACAAAGGACGCAACAGGAAATAATGATGATTCTAGTTTGATAGATAATGGAAAATTATGTGTTTGTGGCAATAGTTCACAAATGAGATGAATGAGCAATGCCTTCAGATTTAATATGCGTTTGGGATCTTCTAAAGATGGGATGAGATTAAACTGAACAGAGAAGTAAAATGTAAATCAGAACTATGGAGAAATTATTGATCAGGAAAAGACTTCTACCAGATCTTGATGGAAACCAACAGAAGAAGCAAAGGATGCTCCTAAGTAGGAAGACCACAACCACAACCACAGAAGGAAAATAACTAATGGTAAAAGCTAGAGTTTGTGCATTTAAGTAATTTTTTTAAGTAACAGCAACTGGAACTACATTAATAGTTGGGCAGAGCTCAACATTCTGGATTGCCTATGATCTGGCTCCAGTAAAAAATCTAAAGAATAAATGATGAATCACAGAGGAGAAAGTGACTCGGGGAAAGAATCCACAAGAAAAGGCTGCACTGAGCAGGAATGGGATGTGCTTCAGTCCAAGCTGATTCCATCCCTGCACGTGGTCCCTGTGTGCTGGAATGGTGGGGGTGACACAGATATCTCCCTGGTCAAACAGCTCTTTCAAAATCACATTTTCCATCCTGCCAGACCAGCTGCAATGCCAAGGAATTTGAACCTTCCCTCTTTTAGGCTACCAACTCATCCGCACATTGTGGATCCAAGGGATTCTTCTTCCAGCTGCTCATGTGAATGGCACTGAAAAAACCACAGCTTCAGAGGCCCTGAACAAACCCTTCCTGCTCTCTTAATTACACTGACCAAGGGAGGCCAGCTCTGGTGCAGTCTGACCTCCAATTATGAGGCACACTGTGGTCTCCTCACTGAGCTGTGCAGGCATTAGTGGCAGCATGCCAGCAATGGCTATATTAAAATCAATTTCAAACTCCCAGTTCCATGTCTCTTTCACCTCAGAAGGTGAGGTAGCACACCTTATACTAATTCAACTCTTTGTAAAATATTGTAAAAACAAAACTGACCTGTGCAAAACAATTAACAGTTGTATTTTTTTTTTTTTTTTTTTTTTTTTTTTTT